CTGTGTGTCAATGTGTCTCCCCGTATGTCCGCACATCTCCCCGTGTCCTACCGTATTTTCCGGTGTCTCCCCCGTGTGTCTCTCCCCCGCGTGTCTCTCCCCCCGTGTCTCCCCCCCGTGTGTCTCCCCCCCGTGTGTCTCCCCCCCGTGTGTCTCCCCCCCGTGTGTCTCCCCCCCGTGTGTCTCCCCCCCGTGTGTCTCCCCCCCGTGTGTCTCCCCCCCGTGTGTCTCCCCCCCGTGTGTCTCCCCCCCCGTGTGTCTCCCCCCCGTGTGTCTCCCCCCCGTGTGTCTCCCCCCCGTGTGTCTCCCCCCCGTGTGTCTCCCCCCCCGTGTGTCTCCCCCCCGTGTGTCTCCCCCCCGTGTGTCTCCCCCCGTGTGTCTCCCCCCCGTGTGTCTCCCCCCCGTGTGTCTCCCCCCCGTGTGTCTCCCTCCCCCCGTGTGTCTCCCTCCCCCCGTGTGTCTCCCCCCCGTGTGTCTCCCCCCCCGTGTGTCTCCCCCCCCCGTGTGTCTCCCTCCCCCCGTGTGTCTCCCTCCCCCCGTGTGTCTCCCCCCCCCGTGTGTCTCTCCCCCGTGTGTCTCTCCCCCGTGTGTCTCTCCCCCGTGTGTCTCCCCCCGTGTGTCTCCCCCCCGTGTGTCTCTCCCCCGTGTGTCTCCCCCCCGTGTGTCTCCTCGCCCCAAAGCTTCACTCCGGGTGCCGGGTTGGTGATTGAGAAGAAGAAGGCGGGACCCACGCCGGCTGAGATGGAGGCGATCAAGGTGGGCGGCGGCGGCCGTGTTGTGCAGTTGTCGCGACGTCTCTCGTTTGTCCGGGGCGAGGGTCGCCAAGCGCCGGAGGCTCCCGCGCTGGGAATGTTTGGGGTCAAGTCGTTGTCGGCGGTGGAGTCGCGCTTTGTGCCGGTGATGACCAGAGTATCCGGAGACTTGCCCACCGTGAAAAATGAGAAGGAAAACACTCGGCGGTCCGCACATGCGTGTTCACACGCATGTGCGCTTGCTGTGCTGCCATCTCCTGGGCAACGCGCAGTCCCGGTGGTTTTGGGATTGTTCGCAAAGTTGTGTGGTCCACCTGCCCCCTCGCCCCTGCAGTGCTGGATCACCGGCACAAACTACCGCACTGACGCCCTGTCGTGCAACCATGCCACTAAGCCACATGACCGGCCGCTAAGCCACACCACCACGCTGCCACCCTGTTACACCACCACCCTGTTACACCACCACACCGACCGCCTTACTGCCATACATCCACACGGTCACCCTGTTACACCACCACACCGCCTTACTGCCACACATCCACACGGTCACCCTGTTACACCACCACACCCACCGCCTTACTGCCACACATTCACACGGCCACCCTGTTACACCACCACACCCACCGCCTTACTGCCACACATCCACACGGTCACACTGTTACACCACCACACCCACCGCCTTACTGCCACACATCCACACGGCCACACTGTTACACCACCACACCCACCGCCTTACTGCCACACATCCACACGGTCACCCTGTTACACCACCACACCCACCGCCTTACTGCCACACATTCACACGGTCACCCTGTTACACCACCACACCCACCGCCTTAATGCCACACATCCACACGGCCACCCTGTTACACCACCACACCGCCTTGCTGCCACACATCCACACGGCCACACTGCGTCACTGCCACACCACCACAATGCGACACCGCTACCACACCGCCACCACACTACCATGCCACCACGCCACCACCACACCGCCTTCCTGCCACACATCCACACGGCCACACTGCGTCACTGCCACAGCACCACAATGCCACACCACCACACTGCCACGCCACACCACCCCACTACCTCACTACCACGCCACTATGCTACCACACTGCAACGCCGCCATGCCACCATAACACTATGCCACCACGCTTCCACCCTGCCACACCACCACACCGCCACCACCACCACTCCACCACCACTCCACACTACCACTACACCGCCACCACACTGCCACGCCACCACCATCACCACACTACCATGCCACCACTACCACACCGCCGTCACGGTTTATGCTCCTTGACGACACACACCCGGTGCCCTCGTGTCACCAAACACGGCACGTGTCGCCAAACACGGCACGTCTCCCCACTGCCATGCTACGCCAGATTACAAGGAGCTGCTATAGTTTTTCTATTCTTGCTCCGCGTGTTGACCCATGGAAGCCTTGCCGACTCTTCAAGATCCTTTTCCAGGAGGGATCGTGTCAATTTTGTCCAAGTAGCCGATGGACACGGGGGGTGGGGGGGGGCTTGATTTACTCGCGATCGCAGTGTGTTGCGATTATAGCAAATTGCGGTGTAACTATAGATAAAGCTGCCTCCCGATTCGCACGGTTGACTGCGTGTAGTGGGTGCCAAAGACGTTCTACGTACGGACACGGTAGCGAAACGTGGGACCGTGACGCCGGCACACAATGAGCCTACTCATATTTTTTTTTCTTAGTTAAGCTCACGGGATCTTTTAAACTTCTAGCGTGTGACGCAGATGGCGCGCAGGAGTATATTTTTTTAGCGGTGACTGCACGTGCAGTACTGACCAGGGCGGCGGGCGTGTGTGGATCGAGTCCCGAACCTTGAACCCGATGTTGACGGCCCTCTTCACGGTCACCCACGTGTTGAGAGTGACTGAAACGGTGGTAGATATCGACCGCGTGTGCGTGCGTGTGTGTGTGGTAGTGTAGCGGTTAGCGCGCTGCGCTATGAACCTGGCGACCCGGGTTCGATTCCCGCTCACGGCTAACACCGGTGACGATAATCTGAACCGGTCCCGGGCCTCCCCTAGGTCGACTCAGCCTCAAATGAGTACCTGGTGCGGTGTCTAAACATCGCCACTGGGGAGACAAAGGCGGTCGGGCGTGGTGATGGCCACCCACCCCCTCGTGTACCGTTCCGGCCTTCATAGGTGCTCGCTAACAGCACTTGCCCCTACAGTCTGTTAAGGCTACACGGGGGGTCTTTGTGTGTCATCGTGCGCGCGTGTCTCTTCTCAGGCCGCGATAATAAACGCGTCGTCTCTCGAGGAGGTGACGAGGCTGAAGAGCCTCCTGCAAGCCGGACACATTCCAGGCCAGGAGAAACCAGCAGGTGCTGCCCCTATCGCACGCGCGTGCCCACACACGTGCCCACAAGACAAAGATCCCTGTATAGCCTGCGCAGACTGTAGGGGCAAGTGCTGTTAGCGAGCACCTATGAAGGCCGGCACGGTACACGGGGGGGTGGGTGGCCAGCACCACGCCCGGCCGCCTTTGTCTCCCCAGTGGCGATGTTTACACACCGCACCAGGTACTCATTTGAGGCTGAGTCCACGTCCACACACACGCGCATACATGTACGCACACACGTACGCCCACACACGTGCGCACATGCACGCACGCACACACGCAAATAACCTCGTAAACATTCACTCCCCTTCTGGCATGCAATGAGCTGCCTCCGTTGGATTTGAGAATGTCCTTATTGTTGCTTCTGCCTGGCTCGTTCTCTACTGTCTCGTTCTGTCTTTCTTGCCATGTCTATTTTTGCCTGGGATGTCTTTAAGTTCTATTCCGCACTCGTGTCTTGTCCCTCCCCCCCCCCCCCCCTGTCTCGTTTGTACTGTCCTGTTCGTTTTGTCCGTCTCTTTCGTACTGCCTGTCGCATTTTCACTGTCAAGTCCTCTCATATCTCGATTTAAAGCTTTCGTGACTGCAGGGATTCATCTTCTTGGCTCTTTCGGTAAAGTCAAGTAGAAGGGAAATAATAAAATAATAAAAATAAAACATTAAATACAATTCTCACGACGTTTCGGCCACAACGCAAGCAGCCGTCCTCAGGTGAAGAACAGGTCTGTTGGAAAGACAGCATCTGAATGACACACCACCAAGCTTGGCAGCGTATATTTAAGCTGGGTTGGAAGGGGGAAGAGCACCTTGACAAAGGAATTTGCATATCAATTTATTATGTTTTATTTTTATTTTATTATTTCCCTTCTACGTGACTTTACCGAAAGAATCAAGAAGATCCTCTCGTATCATTCGCTCCTTCTCACATGGTGTGTCTTGCCGTGTTGTTCTGTTAGTCTTATACGTTCCATCAGTCCTGTCTCCTCATATCTTGCCTCTTCTGTGCCGTCTCGTTTGGGACGGGTGACTGAGATGAGACGTCAGACTGCTTTAAGCACTGGAGGACCAACATCGAGATTCAAATCCGGAATCTCGGTATCTCTGACACAGCCATTGTTAACCAGAGGTTGCAAACGGGTTTTGATTCCTTACCCGTACCCGGCCGCACCAGGGTCGCAAACGGGTAGCCGGGTATCGGGTAGGGTACGGGTATCGGGTACCCGGTTGCGACCTCTGTTGTTAACCCACATGGATACAGATTTAGACGCCCAGGCCTTGAACCCATGATGTTTTAGTGTTGCTGACTCAAGTGTTATTAACACGGCCATTATGAATCTGCCGAGTTAAAGATTTAGACTCAACTTATCTAAAAGTATTTATTTTACCAGGTAAGGCCCACTGAGATATCTAAGCAGCTCTTTTTCAGACGCGACCTGGCCACAAATGATCGCTCAACGAAGTGGCTTATCATCATGTGGACATTCATAGCAGCCAAATGCTCTTAAACGCATGTTTCTAAATGTGGAGGGAAAACCGGGGAGAACGCACAAACTTCTGATATACAGCAGCAGGCGTCAGGGTCTGGATCGAACCCACGACCTCCTGCGTACCAGGCGAGGTAGTTAACATCTAGCCACCGTGATGATGATGAGAGAGAGAGAGAGACACTCAAACTCCAAATATACAGCAGCAAGCATCAGGGGTTGGGATCGAACCCACGACCTCCTCTAAACCAGCCACCGCGACGCCCTGGTTCAGGGCTTGAACCCAGGTGCTCTGCGCCGCCGCCATGTCTCGCCTCTGTCTCTTAACGCGCACGCTTGCTGTCGTGTCCGTCCGTCCGTTCAGCGGCTGCCGCCGCTAGCGCCACCACCCCCGCAGCCTCCGCCAGCGCCCAAGACGACATGGACACGGCGGCCCCCGCGGAGAGCGGAAACGGAGGTGGGGGGGACGCGGAGGAGGAGGGGGAGGACGCCAAGAAAGAGGAGGGGGGAGACGCCAAGAAGGAGGAGGACGCCAAGAAAGAGGGAGACTCGAAGAAGGAGGGGGGGGACGCGGAGAAAGACGCTGGGAAAGATGCGGGGACGCGGAAAGAGGGAGATGGCGGCGCCAGGAACAACGGGGAGGCCGCCACGGAAACGGAGAAGCAGAATGGGAGTACGGAGAAAGTGCAGGATGTGGAGATGAGCGAGGGGTGACGGTGGTGGGGGGGGTGGGCCGGGGGGGGGGGGTAGACGGCTGGTCACGGGGAGGGGGAATTTCAGATGCGTTTTTTGTTTTTGAAGGATTGGTTTCGTCTCAAATGACTCTGATCCAGGTTTTGTGTTGTTATTGTTGTCTACGTTTATTTTGAGAGAGAGCGAGAGAGACCAGGTCCGAGCAACGTTGTCTTGGAGCTTGTTTGTCAAGGTCGTTGTCTTGAGAGACTGGTGGCTCGAGATTGGGTGTCAGGAACCAGCGTCTCGAGACTGGGTTTCAAGATCCAGTTACTTGAGGGCTTAGGAGGCATGAGATCGGTGTCTTGAGTTGAGACCCGGCTTCGGAGTCGGTGTCTTGAGAGACTCAACTTTTGAGAGGACGGGTCTTTAGATCAAGAGGAGTCTTTGTGAAGACTTTGCGCCTGGAATTTCTGAAGTCGGGGATGATCTTGGGAGTTCGTATTGGCCACGCTGTTTGGGCATCAAACCAACATTTCGGCACGGGCTGGTTTCACAGTTTGCGTGGACGCGACGACGTCGTGATTTGATAAATAAAATTGTGAGAAGGAATTTTTTTTTAAAATAAACTAAAATATATGCCGGCAAGGTTTATTGTTGTATTTGTTTTACATTTCGTAGTCTCTTTGCGAATGATGTTGTTGGTGAACGGTTGTGTAAAATGGTGACTGCCATTTCGATTTAAAGCTTTCGTGACTGCAGGGATTCATCTTCTTGGTTCTTTCGGTAAATTCACGTAGATAAAAAATGAAATTCAAATTAATACAAATAAAACAGTAAAATCTGGCTGTGACGGTCCCACCTGATGACGGAGACTTGTGTTGCCTCCGAAACGTCGTGATTTTACTGTTTTATTTTTCGGTAAAGTCACGTAGAAGGGAAATAGTATAATAAAAATATAAAACATAATAAAATACAATTCTCACAACGTTTCGGCCACAACACAAGCAGCCGTCCTCAGGTGAAGAACAGGTCTGTCGGAAAGACATTCAGACGCTGTCTTTCCGACAGACCTGCTCTCCACCTGAGGATGGCTGCTTGCGTTGTGGCCGAAACGTCGTGAGAATTATTTTATTATGTTTTATTTTTATTATTTTATGTTTTATTTTTATTATTGTATTATTTCCCTACTACGTGACTTTACCGAAAGAACCAAGAAGATAGTGACTGCCAGTTGGAGTGGAATGTGTTGCGACCAAGGCACCCACCCACGCCACGAGTAACAGCATCGACAACCGCCGTTCGCCACCAAGTGGCCGTGACGTCAATGTGGCTCTTGTGCCAGGCTAGGTGCACTTTGAGGACACGTGAAGAGTCGATGGTTCGCTGTTGGCAGGTCAGTCACGGGACAGACTTGAGGTGCCGTGGGTTGACTGACCGAGATGACCGGCCCGATGCGGACCGCCTGTGCTCCCCCAATGTGTTTTAGTCCCAACCACCCCAAGCACCACGCACGTGCCCTCTTAGCCTTAATAGGCGCTCGCTAACCGTACTTACAACAGTTGCCGAAGCCGAACGGTTATTACGTGAAACGATTAATGTGGATTTCGTTGAACCTTGGTGATGAGCGACCGTGGTGAGTCCGAGAGTGACCGAGACGATTAATCTGCCAGTAGGGGGCGATGGCTGCTGCTGCTGATGTGTAATCGCAATGGAATCGTCTGCGATGTAATTTTAGAATTTGGCAAGTCGTGGACGCTGACGTGGGCAATATATGGCCCTTACTCTTGGCGAATGTTCACATGTAAGTTCGTTGAACTTTTTTCGCGCCGTACGTGGCCAACCGCGCTAAGCGGAGGTGGCCTACCATTTTTCGACTTGTCATGCGATTTCTCAAGTCCTTAACGGGGAAAGCAGACCGCGTGTAGCATTCTACGAGTCGTTAAACCCGCCGTATTTTTACTAAACTATTAATTGTTTTACCAGGTAAGGTCCACTGATATATGTAGCTCGTTTTCAGAAGCGACCTGGCCACAAACGATCGCTCAACAAAGTGGCTCATCACGTGGAAATTTATACAGGTAGGAACAACAGGTTCCACGCTGTCGTGCATATGGGGAGGGGAGGGTGGGGGGTGGGAGGGGTGGGGAGGGACGGGCTGGGTGGGGCTGGGTCGGAGGGGAGGGGCTTGGTGGGGAGGGGCTGGTCACCACGTGGTGCCCTTATAAAACTCAACGTTTCACCTACACACGACACGATACACTACACTTATACAGGTAGGAACAACAGGTTCCACGCTGCCCACCAGGGATAATTTGTCTGTCGTGCACGAATCCGCTGTCCAACCAAGTTCCTACCTGCCCACTCCGAAGGAACGTGTTTTCCGCCAAATACTCGAAAGGCATTTTTCTAAATGTGGAGGGAAAAACCGGACGACCCGTAGAAAAAAAACTACGCAACCATGGGGAGAGAGGCACGCAAACTCCAAATATACAGCAGGCGTCGGGGTCGGGATTGAACCCACGACTTCCTGTACACCAGGCAAGGCAGTTAACATCTCCTAGCCACCGTGATGATAAACACATTCCTGCGGAGGGAGCTGGTAGGAACGTTGGGTTGCTCGGTCAATGGCCAGGGTCAACGGCGGCGTGGTGTATTCCGCAAATATGGCCGATTGAGGGCGGGCACAAGCCGGCGTGAGTAGGTTAAACGTTGAGTTTTATAAGGGCACCACGGGGTGACCAGCCCCTCCCCACCCAGCCCCTCCCTGCACAACGGACGGACAGACACAATAATCCCCTGTGGGCTGGTGGAACCAGTGGGTTCCTACCAGTATTATAGAGACGCTAACTCCAAATATACAGCAGGTGTCGGGATTGAACCCACGACTTTCTGTATACCGGGTGCATCTCTCCACCGTGGGTCCGCGCTCGTGTTTATCAACGCTCCGAGCGTGCGCGCGTGTTCAGAGCGTTGGCTCGGTGCGTGCGCGCGTGTCGATACGAAAGACGCAAGAACGCATTCGGCATTTTCTCACATGACACTCGTTTCACGCAAACCTCGAGACCTCCCCCCCCCCCCCACGCTTCGGCTATTCGCGATCATTTTTAAATCCTTTATATTAAGTTCGCTTGCTTACTTAGGACCGTGCAAATCTTTCGGTCGTTTTTTAACCCACTTCCCGTGATCCAATCGAGCTGACATTTTGCACACAGACTCGTTGTGCGTGACAATTTTCGTGAAATTTTTTTCCCAAAATTTTACACTTTTTAGGACAAAAATATTACGTGTAATTACCAATTGCTTAATGGTGCCATGCAATCATCTGACCCATAGGTGGCAGCCATCTCAAGCCAGAGGACGAGAGGACTCTAGCCGCCACGCATATAAAGGATTTATAGTGAAAAACTTTGTTTTTACGGGTTTACTTGTTTAGTTTTTAGCACAAACTGAACGGGAGTGTAAAATCTAACCACGTGGGCTATTAGCCCGTGGGTGGCGGTGGCGTGGGGGGGGGGGTGGATCGTGTCGTGTCATGCAGTCTCTTCCCTCCCCCGTGACTCCTGTGACGACCGCCTCACGTGACGGCTATCAACCAGAAGCCGCAAGCGGGTTTTGATTCCTTACCCGTACCCGGCCGCACCAGGGTCGCAAACGGGTACCCGGCCGGGTACGGGTTAGCCGGGTATCGGGTAGGGTACGGGTATCGGGTAGGGTATCGGGTAGGGTACGGGTATCGGGTAGCCGGGTATCGGGTAAGGTACGGGTATCGGGTAGGGTACGGGTATCGGGTAGGGTACGGCTATCGGGTAGGGTACGGGTATCGGGTAGCCGGGTATCGGGTAGGGTACGGGTATCGGGTAGGTTACGGGTGTCGGGTAGGGTACGGGTATCGGGTAGGGTACGGGTATCGGGTAGGGTACGGCTATCGGGTAGGGCACGGCTATCGGGTAGGGCGCGGGTATCGGGTAGGGTGCGGGTATCGGGTAGGGTACGGGTATCGGGTAGGGTAGCCGGGTATCGGGTAGGGTACGGGTATCGGGTAGGCTACGGGTATCGGGTAGGCTACGGGTATCGGGTAGGGTACGGGTATCGGGTAGGGTACGGGTATCGGGTAGGGTACGGGTATCGGGTAGGGTACGGGTATCGGGTAGGGTACGGGTATCGGGTAGGGTAGCCGGGTATCGGGTAGGGTACGGGTATCGGGTACGGGTATCGGGTAGGGTACGGGTATCGGGTAGGGTACGGGTATCGGGTAGGGTACGGGTATCGGGTAGGGTACGGGTATCGGGTAGGCTACGGGTATCGGGTAGGGTACGGGTATCGGGTAGGGTAGCCGGGTATCGGGTAGGGTACGGGTATCGGGTAGGGTAGCCGGGTATCGGGTAGGGTACGGGTATCAGGTACGGGTAGCCGGGTATCGGGTAGGGTACGGGTATCGGGTAGGGTACGGCTATCGGGTAGGGTACGGGTAGCCGGGTATCGGGTAGGGTACGGCTATCGGGTATCGGGTAGGCTACGGGTATCGGGTAGGGTACGGCTATCGGGTAGGGTACGGCTATCGGGTAGGGTACGGCTATTGGGTATCGGGTAGGCTACGGGTATCGGGTAGGGTACGGCTATCGGGTAGGGTACGGGTATTGGGTAGGGTACGGCTATCGGGTATCGGGTAGGTTACGGGTATCGGGTAGGGTACGGCTATCGGGTAGGGTACGGGTATCGGGTAGGGTACGGCTATCGGGTAGGGTACGGGTATCGGGTAGGGTACGGGTATCGGGTAGGGTACGGCTATCGGGTAGGGTACGGCTATCGGGTAGGGTAGCCGGGTATCGGGTAGGGTACGGGTATCGGGTAGGGTACGGGTATTGGGTAGGGTACGGGTACGGGTATCGGGTACGGGTATCGGGTAGGGTACGGGTATCGGGTAGGGTAGCCGGGTATCGGGTACGGGTATCGGGTAGGGTACGGGTATCGGGTAGGGTACGGGTATTGGGTACGGGTACGGGTATCGGGTAGGGTACGGGTATCGGGTAGGGTACGGGTATCGGGTAGGGTAGCCGGGTATCGGGTAGGGTACGGGTATCGGGTAGGTTACGGGTGTCGGGTAGGGTACGGGTATCGGGTAGGGTACGGGTATCGGGTAGGGTACGGCTATCGGGTAGGGTACGGCTATCGGGTAGGGTACGGGTATCGGGTAGGTTACGGGTGTCGGGTAGGGTACGGGTATCGGGTAGGCTACGGGTATCGGGTACGGGTATCGGGTAGGGTACGGGTATCGGGTACGGGTAGCCGGGTATCGGGTAGGGTACGGGTATCGGGTAGGCTACGGGTATCGGGTAGGGTACGGGTATCGGGTAGGGTAGCCGGGTATCGGGTAGGGTACGGGTATCGGGTAGGTTACGGGTGTCGGGTAGGGTACGGGTATCGGGTAGGGTACGGGTATCGGGTAGGGTACGGCTATCGGGTAGGGTACGGCTATCGGGTAGGGTACGGGTATCGGGTAGGTTACGGGTGTCGGGTAGGGTACGGGTATCGGGTAGGCTACGGGTATCGGGTACGGGTATCGGGTAGGGTACGGGTATCGGGTACGGGTAGCCGGGTATCGGGTAGGGTACGGGTATCGGGTAGGCTACGGGTATCGGGTATGG